CCCCCCCCCCCCCCCCCCCCGCGCCGCCGGCGGGGGCGCGGGCGCCCCCCGCCCCCCCCCCGGCCCCCCCCCCCGGCCCCCCCCCCCGGGCCCCCCGGCCCCCGCCCCCCCCCCCCCCCCGGGCCCCCCCCCCCCCCCCCCCCCCCCCCCGCCCCCCGCCCCCCCGCCCGCCCCCGGGGCGCCCCCGCCCCCCGCGCGCCGCCCCCCCCCGCCCGGCGCCCCCCCCCCCCGGGCCCCCCCCCCCCCCCCCCCCCCCCCCCCCCGGCGCGGCCCCCCCCCGCCCCCGGCCCCCCCCCGGGGGCCCCCCCCGCCCCCCCCCCCCCCCCCCCCCCCGCGGGGGGCCCCGCCGCCGGCCGCCCCCCCCCCCGGGGCGGGGGCCCCCCCGCGCCCCCCCGCCCCCCCCCCCCCCCCCCCCCCCCCCCCCCCCCGCCCCCCCCCCCCCCCCCCCCCCCCCCCCCCCCCCCCCCCCCCCCCCCGCGCCCGCCCCCGGGGGGGGGGCCCCCCCGGGGGCCCCCCCCCCCCCCCCCCCCCCCCCCCCCCCCCCCCCCCCCCCCCCCCCCCCCCCCCCCCCCCCCCCCCCCCCCCCCCCCCCCCGGGCCCCCCCCCCCCCCCCCCCCCCCCCCCCCCCGCCCCCCCCGGGGCGCCCGGGGGGGGGGGCCCCCCCCCCCGCGGCGGGGGCCCGCCCCCCCCCCCCCCGCCGCCCCCCCCCCCCCCCCCCGGGGCCCCCCCCGCCCGCCCCCCCCGCGCGCCCCCCCCCCCCCCCCCCCCCCCCCCCCCCCCCCCCCCCCCCCCGGCCCCCCCCCCCCCCCCCCGCCCCCCCCCCCCCCCCCCCCCCCCCCCCCCCCCCCCCCCCCCGCGGGGGGCGCGGCCCCCCCCCGGGGGGGGGGGCCCGGGCCGCCCCCCCCCGGCGGCCCCCCCCCCCCCCCCCCCCCCCCCCCCCCCCCCCCCCCGGGGGCCCCCCCCCGCGCGGCCCCCCCCCCCCCCCCCCCCCCCCCCCCCCCGCGCCCGCCCGGCCGCCCCCCCCCCCCCCCCCCCCCCCCCCCCCCCGCCCCCCCCCCCCCCCCGCCCCCCCCCGCCCCCCCCGCCCCCCCCGCGCCCCCCCCCGGGCGGCGGGCCCCCGGCCCGCCCCCCCCCCCCCCCCCCGGGCCCCCCCCCCCCCGCGGGGCCCCCCCCGCCCCCCCGCCCCCGGGCCGCCGCCCCCCCCCCCCCGCGCCGCGCCCGGGCCGCCCCCCCCCCCCCCCCCCCCCCCCCCCCCCCCCCCCCCCCGGGCCCCCCCCCCCGGCCCGCCCCCCCCCCGCCCCCCCCCCCGCGGCCCCCCCCCCCCCCCCCCCCCCCCCCCCCCCCCCCCCCCCCCCCCCCCCCGGCCCCGCGGGGCCCCCCCCCCCCCCCCGGCGGCCCCCCCCGGGGGGCCCCCCCCCCGCCCCCCCCCCCCCCCCCCCCCCCCGGGGCCCCGGCCCCCCGGCCCCCCCCCCCCCCCCCCCCCCCCCCGCCGCCCCCCCCGGGCTACAGGAGTTATAATTAATTTAAAACATATCGATCCCTTAGCTTTCTTAAAGGATTCATTTTTTGTCTTCAAGACAAGAATTAATAATATTTTAAAATCATCAAATTCTCTTAAAGTGAATACGATATTCTGTGCCGAATTTGTTATCAAAAAGCAAGATGATGAGAGTACGGAAATCAAATATTTCCATACTAAAAACTCAGTAATAGATCGTGGAACCAATTTATTCGATTGGTTTCAACAGAATGTCGTAGACAGGCTTCAAAATAAACTAGAAGAATTCGCTGAGAGGGGAAGCGGGGGTGCTTTAAACAAAATTATCGGGTTAGAAGTCAATGTCAACAAGTACGAAATTGGTCTTGGTGCGTCGTCCTACATTATCCTACCTCAACAAATTACTGAAAAGAAAACAGTAATTAACATAAAAATAATGATCATTATTGCTTCGCATGGAGTATAGTCGCTGCATTGCATCCAGTTGAAAAGGATCCACAGAGAGTTTCCAAGTATCCGCATTATTCTACAGTTTTAGATTTATCAGGCCTAGAGTTTCCCTTAAAATTAAAGCATATAAACGTTTTCGAATCAAATAATAACATTTCTGTAAACGTTTTTGGTTTAGAGATGACCAAAAAATCAAATTATACGGTAGTGCCATTACGTCTAACTAAAAGTAAACTCGATAAACATGTGAATTTACTGCTAATTCAAAATATATATTCACCGATTGACGATGAAAATGATGCTCAAGGCGATGTTGAAATCCTTTATCATTATTGTTTAATTAAAAATCTTTCACGGTTAGTATCTAGTCAGTTCAGTCAACATAAGAGAAAAACGTTTATTTGCGATATATGTCTAAATTATTTTTCATCTGACGAAGTGCTATAAGAGCACGTTATCCGTTGCAGACAACATAACGATTGCAAAATTTCCTTCTCTAATGAAAAATTTATCTATTTTAAAAATTTTGTAAACAAAGAACCTTTGCCGTTCATAATATATGCAGATTTCGAATCTCTTCTAGAACCCTTTAATGAGAAACAGGATTTAACTAAGAAAACTTCTCGCTATCAAAAACATGTAGCATACAGTGTAGGTTATTACTTTAAATGCAGATATGACAACAGTATATCATATTATAGTAGTTATACAGGGCTAGATTGTATACAGTGGTTTGCCGATGCAATGGATAACGTGTCACAGTTTGTTAATTCCATTCTGACAAACGTTCAGCTTATTAATGTTGAGATAGATATTAGGGATGCCTCACCAAATTGTCACATTTGTGAAAAAGTTTTCAATCCTAAGGATAAGATTGTGAGAGACCATGATCATATAACAGGATATTTTCGGGGTTTTGCACACTCTGATTGTAATTTAAATTACAAAAATTCGTTTGTGGTACCTGTTATCTTCCAGAATCTTAGCGGATATGACGCTCATTTCCTCATCAGAGAATTAGTCAAGCGGTCCAGGATAACTGTGCTACCTGTCAATAAAGAAAAATATTTCTCTTTCACAAAATACTGTGAGGAAACTAATGTAAAGTTTCGTTTTGTGGACTCCTATCGCTTTATGGGTTTCTCATTGGATGCTTTATCCTCCATTTTGATTGAAGAGGATTTTGTAAATTTAAGAAACGACTTTCATGATTTAGAAGATACAAAATTTAAGCTGCTTTTAAGAAAGGGAGTCTTTTGCTATGACTATGTTGATAATACGAATAAACTGCAGGAAACACAGTTACCCCGGCAGGAAGACTTTTATAGTATCTTAACTGACGAAGGGATTAGCCTTGAGGATTATGAATATGCCCAAAATGTTTGGAGAACGTTTTGTTGTCGAAATTTAGGTGAATATGCAGATTTATACTTAAAAACAGATGTCATGCTGTTGACTGATCTTTTCGAACAATTTCGTGCAACTTGTCACGAGACTTACGGACTTGACCCTGCTCATTATTACACAATCCCAGGTTATACTTGGGATGCAATGTTGAAACATACAAAATGTTCTTTAGAAACCATACAAGATGTTTATATTCTGTTATTCTTTGAATCTGGAGTAAGAGGCGGTTTGAGTCAATGTAGCAACAGATATTCCGTTGCCAATATTAAATATGTATCAGGTTACAATTCAGAAGCGTCATCAAAGTATCTTATGTACTTTGATGTGAATAATCTTTACGGTTGGGCTATGAGTCAATATTTATCGTTTCGATTCGAATGGTTAACAGATTTGGAAGATTTTAATGTTTTTAATGTTGCAGATAATTCAGACATCGGTTATATTTTAGAGGTTGATTTATATTATCCTGAACACCTACATGACTTACATCGTGATTTACCGTTTTGCCCCGAGCATCGCAAACCTCCAAATTCAAAATTACCTAAATTAATGGCAACGCTGTATTCTAAACAAAATTGCATTATCCATTACAGGTATTTAAAACAGTGCCTTAAACACGGTGTGTAAAAACCTGGGCAGGTCGGTATGGTGCCAAAAACTTAATATCTAGACCAACATTTCATAGTAGTGCGATTTTCGATGAAGATGTGGTAGATATTGAGTTAAACAAAAAACACATTTAGTCTTTAACAAGCCCCTTTATATTGCAAAGGCAATTTTAGACATTTCCAAAACCTGCGTATACGAATTCCATTATATGTTAAATAAATTTGATATAAATGCATGTAAACTATTGTATACAGACACTGATAGCTTTATTTATGAAATTAAATGTGAAGACGCTTATCAGGAAGTAATCGGTAATGAGAGAATGAGCACGGTTCGACACTAGCGACTACGCTCCTGATAGGTGATACGCTCCATATGATTTACCACGCGTTAATAAAAAAGTAATTGGGTTAATGAAGGATGAAAATGCAGGTAGACCAATGACGCATTTTATTGGACTTCGGTCAAAACAATATACATTTCAGGTGCAAAAGACAGAGCGTGAAACAAAATGCTTTAAGAAAGCAAAGGGAATCAAGTCAAACGTAGTGAAAAACAAGATTACTTTTGATGATTATCTAGATTGTTTGAAAACTAAAGTTTCTAAATATGAAACCCAAAGAACAATAGTATCACACACTATACTCGATGAAACAAACCAAAATTGCTTTAAATTCGCATGACGATAAACGTTATCTCTTGCAAGACGCGTCACATACCACTCTACCTTGGGGCCATTATTCCATAGCCACTGTAGATGATTAGTATCTTATTAACCTTGTAAAAATATAATCAAATAAATATTCTGTACATGTGTAAGTATGTTTTATTCAGTATACATATATAAGGTCTACTGATAAACACACATCCTGTTACACAGGAAGCTTGTGTGGTCGGTATTAGTTACTGACGCATGTATTTTATTCGAATAACGATGCTTAGACGTAATGTACAGGGTATAATAAATCAATTAATACTATATAAGAGCATGTGTATTTTTTTATCCATTTAACCGCAATCCTCCTTTGTGTTACAAGTTGAAATAGCTCAATGGAAGAGCGACAGACTGAAAATCTGGAGATCTTGGTTGAATCTCAAAGTTCAACAACTTTTTATCCACCTTGTACTATCTAAATTTAAATTTGGCGCGACATACGAACCGTGCCGTCAACTTCTTGTACCTGAAGAACTTACGTCACACAAATATAGGCACCATCCTTCTCCACCTTCAACAGCCACAGGTCATTGCCGTCAACTTCTTGTACCTGAAGAACTTACGTCATCCCACAACAGAAGGCGTTAGTATCAATTTTCTGTGATTTTTATAGGATAATTCATGTTAACCGAGACAAAGAGTTTGAGTACCAAGGCCCTGGATACATTTCTCAGTTTCAACATTTTTTCCTGCTACGCCACTGCTTATTCAAAGGGGTCATAATATAAAAATGCAACTTATAAATTAAATAAATAAATAAATATACCGACGTCTATGATATAAATTTCCATTTAATGAATACATACAGATACTCTCTTATCTTTGCAACAGGATGCGGTTTTGTTAATCTGGTTATCGCAAGCACACTAATAAGTATTATTTTAAAGTTAAATTCTACATGTCCATACAAAACTGAACCTTCACTCCAACAGCCTCTCCCCGGTCATTGCCGTCAACTTCTTAGAGGTAGGTACCTGAAGAACTTACGTCACACCTTGCCACCGCCATCATTATTCTTTCTCTCGCGCTCTCTCTCTTCCTTCAACAGCCCCCCCTGGTCATTGCCATCAACCTCTTGTACCTGAAGAACTTACGTCACCCACACGCACACCAGCCTTCGACTTACGTCACATCTTGCCACCTCCATCCTTATTCTTTCTCTCGCTCTCTCTCTCTCTCTGTTCCTTCAACAGCCACCCCTTGTCATTGCCATCAACCTCTTGTACCTGAAGAACTTACGTCACCCACACGTACACCAGCCTTCGACTTACGTCACATCTTGCCACCTCCATCCTTATTCTTTCTCTCGCTCTCTCTCTCTCTCTCTCTCTGTTCCTTCAACAGCCCCACCTGGTCATTGCCATCAACCTCTTGTACCTGAAGAACTTACGTCACCCACACACCAACCTTCAACAGCCACCGGTCATTGCCGTCTACTTCTTGTACCTGAAGAACCTACGTCACACACACCAGACCCCCCTACTCTTTGGTACATGCCGATGGACACATGCCATCCAGTTCACTTCCTGCGCCAGAACCCGCTTTGCTATACTACTATTAATTATTTTGTTTGTTTATCCCATTAAAATATTTTAAAAATATGGAACAACCCCATTGTCTTAAAGAAAAAGATGCCAGAAAAAGAAAAATTATGAACGATTTTGTCGTTGATTTTTTTTATGTTTTAACATTACGAGCAAAAATGCCATTATCGCTCTCGGTCACGAGTGATTACAGCGCGACCGAAGAGAACACGTTAACTCTCGATCACTTTCGAGCGATAAAGTATAAATTTTGGCTCTTTAAGGCTCCCCCAGGCCAAAGCGAAATTTTTCTTAACGCTACGAATAATTCACACTGCGAAGTTCGCGGTTTTTTAAATACTCAGCAACTTAAAAATATTGTCAAACAGGTTTCGCATTTGATGCGTGCAGCGAGATTTCTGCAGTGTTTTTTTTTCTCCGGCGAAACTAATTTCGTAGAAGCAGTGTTTTTATCGCGACTTCGCGGCCAATCTGCAAATGAACAATGTCGAACTTGGAAAAATAAATATGTTAAAAAATTTCCAATTTTATACGATCTTTTTTTTACTTTGTTTATTTAACGTCGGCTTATTTCCGTCACGAGGCCAATCACCGACGCCAGGAGACGAGCTACCCCCAACCTGGAAATTTTGCCGAATCCCCACTAGTTCCAAGTGGGGTAGGGATCTTTTACTTGCCTAACATTGTATAGACAAGGGACCGCCGGCTTTACATCCTCTCCGAGGGATGGTATGTTCGACTACACAAACCTCGCCTAAGTTTGCATAGCTTCTGTGAATTCGCTGACATACTAGCTACAGAAGAAGAGCGAGCACCGCACGCTTTACCTGGCATGGTCACCCATCCAAGTACTAACCGCGGTACGCGTTACTTGACTCTTCATATCGATGATATGAGCGCCAAGTCGCTAGGCTCTGCTCGCCCCTTATACGATCGGGTACGAAAGGACTATAAAAACATAAAGAAGAAAGACAAAAATATTTAACGACATTGGAAAAAAGCTAAACGATAGTAGCTGTTTGATTATTTTTATTCATTAAATGCCTAACCCAAATTGGTCATTTGTATTTTGAGATTATTTATTGTGCAGTAGGTACCGTACCGTCGTGCATGATATTATAAAAGGAAGATATAATGCTCATGAGAACAAAAATGCGTTCGCTGTGCGCATGACGTCACCGAGAGAGCATGTGACGCCCTTTTTACCCGCCGACTTGGGGCAGGGTTTATTTCGCTCGGGTGCCAGTTCCTTTATAAAAGGAAGGAACACCCTAAGGTTCTTTACCCCTAGGGAGCAACAAGCAATAAAACAAAAGAGAACGACTGTATACAGGGCACTGTATTACAGGACATATACACCGTATTACAGGACACTGTTGACGTGAAATTGTTAGCGGTGGTGTTAATGTATCTGCCTTAGTTGGGCTTGGGGTTCCACCATTTTGGATTTGGTGGATGAATGAATGGATGAATGAACTAAGTTATATTAGTAGATAAGCTATGCCGATCCTGCTCCACAATTCAAGATGGCGGGTGGCGTCTGTGCAGAGGGGGTTTGGTGTTGCGTGGAACGTGGAAGTATGGTGGGTTGGTGTGGTGGTTACGAGTACTATGATGCCTGTTCTAGTTAAGTATTATATTTATTAATGTAGTAGGTACGTATCATATTGATGATTTAATGAAACGCTAAAGTATAGAGTGTCGTTTATTTGCTTAGGTATTACAATACATTATTGCTATCAATCCAAGAATTATGTTTATCATTATAACCTAACCATTTAACAAAAACTTTATTTCCTTTTTTTCGTAAAACTTTTTCAACTAAGTGAGCATCGGGATGTTTTGCTTTTTGTAATTCCAATTCATAGAAGCCTCCTGTTATTTCTTTACCTGCCTCATCCTGCAATAAATATGTTGTGGGATTGGATAACCTTATCTTTCTAATAATAAAAATTTCACTAGACTAGTTTGGTGTGTAACCTTTTTCGAAAGCTTCTCTATATTTGCTAATTCTAACATGGTCACCCACTTTAAATTTTGTTATTTTATTTGCAATTTTTAGATGTGTATATGTCGACTTTAATAATGATCTTTCATTCCTTGCGGTAACTTTAATTGGTTTCATCCTGGTTGTAGAATGAACTGTATTGTTGTATTTATCAACAATATCATCTAAAATATGAATCCATTTATATTCTCCTCCTCAACTAAAAGTACGCCAAAGCATATTCTTTATAGTTCTAATAGAGCGTTCCACAATCGAAGTTTTTTTTGTACTATAAACGCTGTAGTGGTTGATTTTATATTTTTTCATCAGTTTGTTAAAATTCGTGTTGTAGAATTCCTTACCCATGTCGGTTTGCAAATTTTTTGGAATTTTTTTAGAACGCTGTAGAATCTTATTCATAGCATTTGCAACTTCTTGGGCTGATTTATTTATTAGTGGTTCTGTCCAGACAAATTTAGAAAAGCAATTAATAACAATCAGTACATACTTGTACCCGTTATTTTCCTTTTAATATGATATTAAATCAAATCTGCTTGTGTTATATCATTCAGACCTTTTATGATGGTTCTACGTCTTTTGAAATTGATCCTGACAGGTTTGTGTAATTCATTAACAATGTCTTTTTTACATTTGTTGCATATTTTGTTACGGTTCAAATTTTGAGGATTGACACAACATAATATGCAAAGCCAATATACACATAAGCTTTGTAATATGTAATACCAAATGTTTGAATTAACCTAATTTATTGCTATGGTTTGTTTTACCAAATAACAGAAGTCATACAGAGCGTGTACTATTGTAACTGAATTGTAACTGTGCTGCTCGGATCACTTCGTGAGTATTTAGTGTGTTCTTTATTAAAACTAGTCTCTCCACGAATCGTTGTCTCCTTAACAATTAAACATTCAACAAATTGTAGTTACACATATACTCCCCCTAATAATTCATGTAGTAATAGTTACCACGATACAGGATCACATTCTACTGATGGCAACACTGTCATATTTTTCGCGTGATCTAAATCAGAGCGCTGGCGCAGACTGCCTTGGGCAGAAAAATCTGAAACGGACGCCTTTTCTTTTCTCTCTTTTCGTTTTTGGCAGCCGTCCAAGAAACAAGCCGATTATTTGTGATAACCAGATAGGTTAAAACTAAAAGTTTCAAAACCCAAATTTAGAGTAGAATTCTCGAATCATCCATAGTTTTTGAGTTTGGGATTGTTAATTAACCTAATCAATATTTGAAATACTATATGTATTTTTGGACAGCATAGCTGGATTAAATTGGTTATACACGTGTTTGCACAAGAAGCCCTGGAATAGGGTAAGTGAAGTTCAGCTTTCATTCTTGGAATATAAAACGTTCTTAAACACGTATACGGATAGGTTAGAAAGAAAGAACAGTAGGTGTAGTGCCAGTGCCAGTGGTTCCAAACTAACAAATACCAAAAATGACGCTCCGACTCATTCCAAAACTAAACATAATAACCCAAAGACCTATAAGGTCGCTTGCGCCTGTTGCAAGGGTGCGCATTATATTACAAACTGCCCAGACTTCACGAAGTTGAATCAAATTGAGAAGTTAAACAAATCAAGAGCTCTTGGGCTCTGTACTAACTGTCTTAGGAGCAATCACAAAATATCTCAATGCCGGTCTACTTCCTGCAAAGTATGTAATCTAAAGCACCATACTCTATTGCATAGAGAGGGTGCAAATGAAAGTGCAAATACCGAACCCGAGTCGGACCCGGATAATACCACAACCAATCAAAACAATGATACCACTGCCTTAGCAAACTTGTCTGTATCCAACTGTCACGTCGTCCAGGCTGACAATA